GGACGGCGGCGGGCGCGCGCGGACACGGGGTGGGAGCGGGCCGCGGCGCGGAGCGGGCGGCGGGCGATGGGCGAGGGCGCGCTGGCCCCGGGCCTGCAGCTGCTGCTCCGCGCCTGCGAGCAGGGAGACACCGACACAGCGCGGCGCCTGCTGGAGCCTGGCGCCGAGCCCGCCGCTGGGCCCGAGGCCGGAACGGAGCCGGCAGGGCCCGAGGCGGCCCGGGCAGCGGAGGCCGGGGCGCCGGTGCCGGTGGACTGCTCGGATGAGGCGGGCAACTCAGCGCTGCAGCTGGCGGCGGCCGGTGGCCACGAGCCACTCGTGCGGTTCCTGCTCCGCCGCGGAGCCTCGGTCAACAGCCGCAACCACTACGGCTGGAGCGCGCTCATGCAGGCGGCCAGGTGAGCGGGGACCGGGAGGGAGAGAGTCCGGCACTCGTGAGTGCAAATGGCAGACTTGGAGCCTTGCTTTTTGGTCATCTGTATGCTGGAAATGGAAGGGCGGCTTCAGAAACACCAGGTTAGGATGTTAGAAACTTTGCCTTTTGAACAGTGTGGAGGCTGCGGAGTGTGTCTTCCAGGCGTTCATTCATTCCGTTTTGCATCCAGGGTTTCCTACGGACATGTCACTCATCCTGGCTTTGGGGATATAGCTAACTGGGATCCAGTTAAGCCCCCACCTGGGGATAGAAGTAAGATGGGTACATAAAAAATCTTGATCTGGAAGGTCTGACTGTAATAGCTGACCCAGTTGGGGGAATGGGGCCAATTTTTAGTAGAAATGAGGTGTAAAGACCCGCCGAGGTGAAAGTACTAACCACGACGGGAAAACGTGGGGGGCGGGCGCAGTGCAATCACATAGTCACCAGTGTGAGACACCTGGGAGGGTGCTAGGACCCGGAAGGGGGCTGAAAATAACAGGAGACGAGCTCACCCTCGGAGGGAAGAAATCGGGTTGAGAAGTCCACAGTCTAAGGATGGTCGGAGCGTGGAAGGCAGAGGGCAGAGTGACTGGATCAGACTTCGTTCCGGATAAGTTACAGTCACCACGTGGGAGAACGGGTGGGGAGAGAGGCGAGAGTCAGGAAGGCTGGTTAGGAAGGATAGTGGCCTGGATCAGACTAAACCAAGTTATTCCTGGTGACTGCCGGACCCCGTGAAGGGGTTGGGAGAGAGGGAGAAGGCAAAATCTATTTCTACTTTGCTGTCTGGGGGTTACAAATGTACTAAATTGGAGAATGCAAGAAAAGAGAGAAATCTTATTTTTTTTAAAGATTTGGTTTTTTAATTTTATTTTGTGTATGAGTGTGTGAGTGTGTGTGTGTGTGTGTGCCCATATGTATGGGCACATGGTGCCTGAGGGAAGCCAGAAGAGGGTGGTGGATTTCTGAAGGTACAGACATCAGCCAGAAGAGGGTGGTGGATATCTGGAGGTACAGACAGTTACGATCTGCCACACAGGTGCTAGGAACCAAACCTGGGGTCTCTCTGAGAGCAGCAGGTACTCCTAACTTCTGGGCCGTCTCTCGAACCCCAGAGAGATGGTCCTGAGAGTGAGCTTGGCTTTCAGGTGGCACCTGGGGAGAATGCCAGGGCAGCAACCGTGACCTCAAAATCTTTCTTCTAGGTCCCTTCCTAGTGCCCATTCTTCCTTCAGGTGATCCTTCCTTCCTGTGTGGTACCCACCCATCCCCAGTTGGCCTGTGATGTCCCTGGACTCACACCCTTCTCCCCATCCTCCCACACGTGTCCACAGACATCTCTGTAGAAGCCTCCCGCCATACTCCTTTGCTCTGTGTATGCGCTTGCTTGTGCCTCCCGGAAGAGCTTCCACATCTTTCCGGAGTGAGTGCCTAGTTGTGCCTGTCTGCAGCGGCTGCCCTCGCCTCAGGATGACACTCCTGCTCAGACTCTTCAGTACCTTCATCCTGGTCTCTGAAGCTCAGGCAGAGATCTCATCCAGCCCTTCTCTGCATCACACTGTAATCGAAAAGCTAACACTGAGCATTCACTCTGTGCCAAGAATATCTTCTCCACCTTACAAGTGAGAACTTGAGATTGCATGCTGGAGGCAGGTGCCTCCATCACTCAGTCAGTGAGAATGTGTGTGGCCAGGGAGTCCTTCTTCGGAACGCTTAGCGTAAGTTTTCTTCTTCTGCCCTCAGCAAAGCCCCTCCATTTTCCAGTTTAGCTTCTTCCAGGAAGCCTTCCATGCTTGGCCATATCCTCTGGCCTCACCACACCAGGAAAGCCCGATCCACTTGCAGCAGGCTGCCGCCCTTTGTGTACCCAGCCCTGGCTACACCTGAGACTCACTGAGATGTCTTCTCAGATGGGGATCCTGGATTTACCTTTCTGAAGGTTGTGACTGGGAGGAGAGAGGTGGAAGGCGGGAAGGGGCGTGAGAAAGAAGTGCACCTGGACTTGTACACAATGTTTTCTTACGGTTTTAGTAGCACTGGTTGCTGTCTGCAAAAGAATAGATTATTCTTTTCTTCCCCCTCCGCAGTAGTGGGGATTGAACCCAGGGCAGGCCAGTGTGCTACCACTGAGTTGCTCTTCTAAAGCAACGTCTCCCTGAGTTGCCCAGGCTGTCCTTGAACTTACCTTGTAGTCCAGGTTTGATCACCCTGCGTCAGCCTGGCCTGCATCATAGGTCCACTAACCTTTCTTGAGCACCTGTTTTGTGCCCAGCACTGTGCTTGCTGCTTTAAATGGACTCACTCCTTCAGTCCATCTGAAACTTTAGGAAGTATGCGTACTGTTGTCCCCTTTAGTTAGGGAATTGAGCTACAGAGAAGCGAAGTAACTTGCCTACGGCCAAATAGCTGTTCAAATGACAGTAAGATTCACTCTCAGACTGATAGCCCAAGAGCCACGAATCCAGCAAGTGACAACTCCCTTTGGGCGCTGGTAGTGATTCTGAGCAGGGGACAGCCTGGTGTGGCTTTCTAGCCGCTCCTTGGTCTGTTTACCTTCCAACCGCTTCTGTCTTTAGCTCACTCATGTGGGTGGCTGCCAGGTGCTCTGAGTGGCAAGATCACGTGTTGGCTCTTAAAGCACAGGTGTTAATTGCTGAAATTAATTGGCAGTTTCAGCACCTGCTCAGAAGCCCCCAGCAGCCCCATTTTCAGTAATTACCTATTAGAAATTGAACATCCGAGAAATTATCTCGGGCTCTGTTGCATCATTTCATATTTTCAGCTTAATTGAATGCTCTCTAGGGCCACCTGAGAGTTCAGAAAACATTCCAAGATTCAGAATTTCTGCTCAAATTCAGCCCTTTGCTTCCTGTGTAGGAACTGGGCAGGCCGGAGGAGCTGCGATTTGAAATTCTTGGGGCTGTTTTGGGTCTTGTCACTTCCAAATTGAGATTAATTGCTCTCTGCTCCTCTCTTCAGCCTCCTTATCCGTGAAGTGGGAGGCCCTGTGTTCATCTCTGGGATTTCAAATGAGATAAGAATCTGAAAGCACCTTGTAATCTGCAGTGAGAGATTACACTGGAGTTTACTCTGTGCTTCCAAAGCCGGCGGGGGCTTTCAGCTCTGCTGCCGTGGTTGCTTTCTCTCTCCCAGACCTCCCTTCCTTGTCGCCCTTGCAGTGCATTCATTTATTTATTCACTGGACAGAATATATTGAACTCTAACACAGGCCATCTCCTGTGTTAGGGGACAGGGGAGTCGCCTGGTCTTGTCCTTAGCCACAGTCAAGTAGGGGAGACACGGTTTTTGAAGGAGGTGTAGACAGAGGGGAGCAGCAGACTTGGGGTGTCTTGGGAGGGAGCTCCGGACCCTGCCAGAGTTGGTGAGATGAGAGTGGGGGCCTGAGAAGGGCAGAGGCTCAGCACTTTGCTTGGCAGGACCAAATGGCAGAGGGTGTGAGTCAGATCCATAATGGAAGGGCATGGGCGGGAGGGGGGAGGGTGTGGCAAGGCCTGGGAAATATTAGCAGTGTAGGCAGCCCTCCTGACGCTGGCAATTGGGATGGACCATGAGGTTTAGGTGTGTGAGCTGCTTGGAGGATGGGCAGGAGCAAACAGGAAGGGGGGGGCCTTGAGTTTGCAGTTTGTGTATGTTAGTGTGTCTCCCCAGACTCACTTCTCTGCTCTGAAGAACTCCCAACCTGCCCCAGGCTGGAGGCCCCGGCTACCAGGTTCTCATTCGCATGCCAAAGGAGGCAGCCTGGTGTGTCAAGGTTCACAGCCCAGAAGGTATTTTATATTCAGCTGGAGCCTCAGACCAGAGTTCGCCTTGGCCCAGCCTCCCCCTAGATTTAGCTGAAGCACAAGATCCGCTTTCAGAAAGGAGGGCTGAGCAAGAACTCAGCCTGGCGCCTGAGCCTGACACCCCATCCGCGGTTTGTCATTCTCTCCTGTTAGTCAGGACCCTTCCCTAGCTGACCTTCTCCACTTGCTCACAACACCTAAGTCTGTCCACTGAGAAGCAGCAGCTGTCCTCCTGGAGTCAAGAAATTGTCGGGCCCTGAATGGGGCCACAGCTGGCCTAAGCCAGGTTCATAGTCACCTGCAGTGAACATTCTTGCCAGCAGGTGGCAGTAGGCCCCCACAGAGGTGCCAGAGTTCCTTCGCCCAGCACAGCTGCCACATCTGGCATGTGCTGGGATGGTGGGGGCTGAGGAGACACAAAGGACTCGAAACAAGGGCCTTGCCCATGAGGGAATCAGAGCACTGGCAGAGACAGCTTAGCAGGCCATGATTCGGAAAACTCGGGGGAGGGGGGGCGGGGAGGGGTGTGTGTGTGTGTGTGTGTGTGTGAGAGAGAGAGAGATACATCTACCACAGGTGTATTTCCTCAGATAAAGTCCACCTTGTTTTTCAATTTTAGATTTTTTTTTTTTTTTTTTTTTTTGCTTTATGTGTATGATGGTTTGCCTGCATGTCTATGCACATTTGTGCCTGGTACCCCCTGAGTTCAGAAGACAGTATCAAATACCCTAGAACTAGAATTATGGCTGGTGTGAACTGCCATGTAGGTAACTGGGAATCAAACCTGGGTCCTCTGAAGAGCAACCAGGGCTCTTAACTGCTGAGCCAGCTCTCCAGACCCTCACCTTGTTTTTTTTTTTTTTTTTTTTTTTTTTGACAAGTCTCTCATTGACCTGGAACATGGAAAGCAGGCTAGCGTGGCTGGCAGGCAAGTCACAGAGATCCACTTGTTTTAACCCCTTCAGTACTGGGATTACAGATGTGCACTACCATGTCCATTTTTTTTTTTTTTACTGTGTGCGCACATAGGAGTGTTTGCATGTATAAGGGTACATGTGTGAACATACCCGCGGTGACCTGAGGCCCATGTCTGGAGTTTGCCTTGATTACTCTCCACAGTGGTCACTGAGGCAGGATCTTAGCTGAACCTAGAGCTTTATCCCAGAGTGACCCTTAGCCAGGCTGGTGACTGTCGCAGACTGCAGACTGGAAAAGGAGCATCAATTATAGCGAACACCGAGTGCCTGCTTCCTCTGGCTTACACTCCTCCGGGTGCTTTGTATATTATATATGCTCAGTAAGCCTCAAGCAGCCCTTCATGGAAGTATGATATTAGCCCCAGGAAATGAAGGCACAAAGAAATACTCTTCCTCAGTGTCGGATGGAGGAGAGACCTAGATGTCAGTCTAGCCATGGCCCCTGCCATCAGATGAGGATGGTTGCTCAGGGCCAGCCTGGTACCCAACACCAGGCTGATGTCGTTCCTTCTGAGCAGCCCCTGTGCCTGCAGTAGTTGGCAGTGGAACTGTTCCCTTGTCGATGTTTTCTGTTTCGTGTCACTGATTCCCATCTTTTTGGCAGGTGTGGGCATGCGAATGTGGCACACCTCCTTTTGGATCACGGGGCTGATGTCAACGCTCAGAATCGTCTGGGTGCCAGCGTGCTTACTGTGGCTTCTCGGGGCGGCCACCTGGGTGTGGTGAAGCTGCTGCTAGAGGCAGGTGCCATTGTGGACCATCACAACTCCTCTGGCGAGTCACCGGCAATGGGAGGCAGCAGGGACGAACTGCTGGGCATCACGGCCTTAATGGCTGCCGCTCAGCACGGGCATGAGGCCGTGGTCCGCCTGCTGATGGAGTGGGGTGCGGACCCCAACCACACAGCCCGGACTGTGGGCTGGAGCCCTCTGATGCTGGCGGCCCTTCTTGGGAAGCTCAGTGTGGCACAGCAGCTGGTGGAGAAAGGAGCCAACCCCGACCACCTCGGTGTGCTGGAGAAGACAGCCTTCGAGGTTGCCCTTGACCGCAAGCACAGGGAAGTGGCTGACTACCTGGACCCACTGACCACCGTCAGGCCGAAAACAGGTCAGGCCAACCCCCCCCCCCCCCCCCCCCCCCCCCCCCCCCCCCCCCCCCCCCCCCCGCCCCCCCGCCCCCCGCCCCCCCCCCCCCCCGCCCCCACCCCCCGCTGCGCCCCCCCCCCCCCCCCCCCCCCCCGCTCCATTCCTGTTACGGCCCCACAGAGGAGGCACAGGTCAAGGTTGCTCAACCAAAAATGTGTGCGGAAGAAGAGTCTTGACATGCAGGCCATGAGCCTTGAGCTATACGGTGCCGATGAATGCCTGTTACAAACAGGCCTTACACATTTCTCAGCATGAATGGGTGCTCTGGGGAAGAGCCTGTGAGCATGTAGAGTGAGGCCTTTCCTCCCCAAGCACTGACTCTGATGGAGGTGGTCCTCAAATCCTTCGAGGCAGAGGCCAGCAGTGTTTTCTCTGTAAAAGGCCGGGTAATGAATATTTAGGCTTCCTGGGCTATGCAGGTGCAGATGCAATGATTATTGGCCCGCTAGTTAGAGTGAAAGCAGCCATACTTAGGATGTAAGTGAGTGGGTGTGGCCTCGTGCTAAGTGCAGAGACAGACTTTGGACAGGTTGGTCCCAAACCTAGGTTTGCACCTCCTATTCTGGAATGACATGGTAGCCATCAATCCCTAAGGACCAATTCGCTCAAAATTAGTACAGAGTAGCTCCCTTTTGAGTTTGGTCTTTCCTGGCACATAGTTGTATTTCTTTGCTCTCTGTTTTTTCCGTTGTTCTTAGTGGAACAGTTATGAACATGTTGCATTTTGGAACCTCTATCCAGCAGTGTCACACAGCAGAGTGAGAGACAAATGCTGACTCTCTGTCAGACCCATCTTGAGCTTTAGTTTGCTTCAGCTCACTGTGTGGCCTCTGGCGTGGCATTGCTTCCTGGGAATCCTAGTGCCCTGTCTTATGAAGCACAGATGCTCTTCTTCTGACAGGCTTTGTGACAGTTGTACCTTGAAGTGCCCGGCCCAGTGCCAGGGGTGTAGCTCCCAACAGTGCAAGTTCAGTTCCTTTCCTGGTGTTTGTGTGATGCTCACTGTGTTCCAGGTACCTTCAAAGTGCCTGACAGCGGGGCAGGTGTGCTGGTGCACACCTATGATCCCAGCACTTAGGGAGGCAGAGGCAGGCTGATCTCTTGTGAGTTCGAGGCCAGCCTGGTCTACAAAACTAGTCCAGGACAGCCCATGCTACACAGAGATACCCTGTCTCGAATAACCAAAACCAAACCAAAACAAAGCGCCTGACACATACCAGTGTAGAGTTGATCTCCATCCTGGAGGACTATGGCCTTTGTATGGGAAGGTGGGTCATAAATAGGAAATAAATGACATAAGTGTCATGAGTTAAAACTGCAGGTAAGGACAAGATGAAGAGAGGGCAGTGTGAAATAGCAGGATGGTCTCCCAGGAAAGAGAACAGTGAGTGAACCTCAGGGGTCCAGCAGGTGCGGTAGCCGCAGAGAGGCCACCACAGAAGTCAAGGCTGCACAATCATTAAGTCATCAACAGTAGCCACCCCGACCCCCAGTTCTTCCCTGGAAATGCCGAAATCCACTCCCACAGGACCTTGAAAGCCCTGTGCTCTTTTTCACCCAAACAAAGCTGCCCTGTCTCAGTGGTACTCTTCTATCCTCTTTCTGTGTGGAGGTTGGGACAAGTTTTCTGTCTCTGGACATGGAGGGGTCTGTGGACAACACCAGTAAAGCCCAGAGTGAGGAAAGGCCCAGCCCAGCAGCATGGGCCATCAGGGCACAACAGCTGCCCCCGCCTCAGGAGCCAGGCTGGACTGTGGTGACCCAGTGGACCAGGTGGCTGCTTATTGCAGCCAGCAATAATATTGGTGATATTCCTGTGTCGGGAAAGCCATGGGCCCCAGCCAATTTGGCTTGTAAGCAATTAAAGGCACTTACATTTTTACAAATGTTATTTTATGTATATGGGTGTTACCAACATATATGCCTGTATACTGCCAGAAGAGGGCACTAGATCCCTGGCTATTGGAGTTACAGATGCTGTGAGCCACCATATGGGTATTGGGCATCAAACCTGGATCCTTTGGGAGAGTAGCCAGTGCTCTTAACTTCCGGACCATTTCTTCAGCCACTGAAGGTGATGTTTTGATAACTACAAATGTGCTGTCATGTGCTGATATTTCACAGGCAAAATTAGCCATGTTGTTCTGTGGCCCTGGCTGTAGTTGACATTGAGAGTCATGGAGTCACTCCATCATGCAGCCTGGCTGGGATGGCTGCCGGGCGCTGGTTAGCACAGTGGTACTCTGAGGAGGCTCCATGTGTGTGAAGCACCTCTTCCTTACATCAGCTGCTGATCCTCAGATCCTGGCAACACGGACATGGTCTACATGCTGGTGGTAGTAGGCCAGCCGTGCTAGCTTACGTGGAGTGCAGACTCACTGCCCCGAGCCTCTGCCCCGTGGCTCCTAACAGCGTGCCCTTTAGAAAGCCAGCCTGTGCCGACCTCTGGGCCTTTACAGTTGTGTTACACTTCTCCTCAGTAATTCTGAAAAATCTCTGTTCACCCAGATGAGGAGAAGAGGCGTCCTGATATTTTCCATGCACTGAAGATGGGTAAGTGATTCAGAAAGCTTTTCTGCATGTTGAAGAGCCCAAGGCCCACCCTCAAGCCTGACTGATCCCCAGGCCTGTTCATGGGCAACAGGAATCTGATGAAGAAATGTGTTTTTAGTTTTTGCTTTATTTCTTTTTGATAGTCTAACTTTTGTGAGATTATAATTTACCCTCACCGGGGAAGGGCTGCGGAGGCCCGCATTTCTTAGAGTGCTACCCACAGATTCTAGAACATTCTCCCGTGGCCCTGCCTTCCCTTTCTCTGAGCCCCAGTTTTGTTATGACGGCAGGGCTCTTTGGCTCAGAGTTTCTGTGTGTGTGTGAGAGAGAATGCAGCACATGTGTGCGGTGGCATTGAGCGGAGGCCAGAGGATGGCCTCAGTGTTGGTCACCTCCACCTTCCTTCCTTCCACCTTCACCTCTCTTACTCGTCCACCATCAGAAGGGGTTTTTTTTATTCTTCTGCTTCATGGCCTGCAGGCTGCTGGGATTCTCCTGTCTCCTAGCTCCCTGAAGGAGCACTGAGATTATAAACACCCATGCTACACGTCATGTCCACCTTTTATGTTTGGAGATCTGAACTCAAGTCTTCAGGCTTGTATGGCATGTACTTTTACCCACTGATCCATCTCCCAAGCTATAGGGTTTCCACCTTCAGGCGGCCCTCCTGGATCTCTGCTCACCATCTCTGCTCACCCCTATTTTTCCTCTTCAGGCCTGTGGCCCTTCCTCACTCTCCCTACTCAAACAGACACAGACAGCACTTCCGTTTGTTCATGTGCTGGTCTCAGTCTGTCACAGACAGGGATCTGAGTGAGGCTTTCTCTGACCCACCTTAGTGGTCCCCCAAGATCGTAGCAGAGCAGAGTGAGCAAATGTTCATCATGGGAGACTCTGGACCCGAACCATGGCTTACCTGGACTCCTGCCATTTGTAGGAAACTTTCAGCTGGTCAAGGAGATTGCCGACGAAGACCCCAACCACGTGAACCTGGTCAATGCGGATGGGGCGACCCCACTGATGCTGGCGGCTGTCACCGGGCAGTTGCCCCTGGTACAGCTGCTGGTGGAGAAGCACGCAGACATGGACAAGCAGGACAGCGTGCATGGCTGGACGGCCCTCATGCAGGCCACCTACCACGGGTCTGTGTCCCGCACTTCTTCCACATGAGGCCAAGCAAGTGCTCTGGCTCGGGCGGGGGTGGGGCTTTCTGGCCCAAGAGGACAACCTGTAACCCAGGGCTTTGGGGACATTGAGCAGAACAGCTGGAGTGAATGTGGGCTCAGTTCTGCCAGCCTCCTCTCTCTGTCTGGGGTGCTTGCCAGCCTGCGGCAGGGGTTCCCAGTAGCTGTGGAACCCACACAGCAGGTGCATGTTAGGTAGAAAGAGTCCCTTCTCGTTTGTTTTCTGCTGCACAGTGTGATTGGCTCCTTTGGAGTTTCCACTTGGTGGTTCAGGGACTTCTGTCATGCATTCCTTCTGTGATATGAACAGCGGTCACACATGCCTAAGCTTTTCATAAGCTTAGACACTGGCAGTTATCTTAACCTTCTCCTTTTAAAATAATGTCACCATCCCAGCCAGGTGGGCTGTCTCCCTCCTTCAGGCCTCTCTGGGGACATCTTGTAGTTGCTAAATGTCCTGGCTCCCCATTAGGGGTTCTCCTCTTGCCTGGTTCAGCTGGCAACATCACAATCTTGCATTGGTTACCTTATCTGATGAGCTTTAAACCCTTGACCCTGCCAGAAAATTCTGGAAGGAAAGTCCTGTCCACAGAGATGGAGGTGTGGTGCCTTAGCACTTAAGGGCAGATGCCCTGGTTTTATTGTCATTAAGGAAGGAACGTGACCGATAGAAAGCACACTGGCCCCTGACCTGTTGAGTGACAGGGTATGACGGACCATGAGGACAACGGTGATTACCTGTGGGCTGCCCAAACACTGGAATATTGTATGCCCTGGTTAATGTTTCCAGGCTTGTTGTCTGGGAACACAGCCACACTTTTCCTGTCACTTGGTAGATTAGCTAATTTTGTGTCATTCTTAACAAAATGCCTGAGGCAGTTAATTTAGGAAGAATAGGTTTATTTTGGTTCATGGTTCTAGAGGTTGCTGTTCAAGACGGAGCAAGCAGTCCCAAGGCTTCCAGCCTCTGGTAAACGTGTTCATGGCATGAGCAGAGAGCATATGCTCAATCCAGGAGGCAAAACCTGAGCTCCAGAACCCCCTTTGGGGCACAAACACAGTGACCAGGAGGCCTCTATAAAGCCCTCCCTCTGACGGTCCACAGCACCTTCCTGTGACCAAGCCTTTGCATATGGACTGCAGGGTGATCAACATCCCGGTGAACACAGGGAGTCTAACTGCCTGCCTCTTTGCTCCCCAGAAACAAGGAAATTGTCAAGTATCTGCTAAATCAAGGGGCTGATGTTGCTCTTCGGGCCAAAAACGGGTACACAGCCTTTGACCTGGTGATGCTGCTGAATGATCCTGGTGAGTAAGCCTGCAAATGGTGCTCAGCCTCCATGCCCTCACGTGCGCCTGGGAACCAGAACAGTGCCTCCCATGGCTGTATGAAAACTATGCTGATTCCTAGGAAAGCCAGTCTCAGGTGTCAAGGGCACACTCCCGTGCCCTTGGGTCATGATGCTAGCCTTATTCCAGCACCAGCCATCATGGAGTTGCTGGAGAGAGAGAGAGCAAACAAGGGTACGTGGCTTTGGAGGCTGTTGGGACCTAGAGCCATCTGTGGTCATAGCCAGAAATACCAAGTGACTCTGCAGAAAGCATTAAGAACGTTTGGCAAGAAAAAGCAGGTGGAGGAGGAGCCCCTCCTCTACCATGTGAGTGTTTGGAGGTCAAAGGTCCTGCAGTCACGTGTCCATGTCTGCTTTACATGCTTCTTTGGGTTGTTGAAGGCCCTGCTGCCCCCTCCGTGCCTTGCCTGCTCTAACCGGCCCCTTTCTAAGGTCTAGGGCTTCCAAAGAGGGGCTGGGGTCTCTCTGATATGTGACTCTGATTATCCTGGAGCTTCAGTCTAGAGACAGGGGAGTTCAGAGGCCCCTGAGCCATAGGAGTTGAGCCAGGACTGGGATCCCAACCCCAAATTATGAGAACAGGAGCGAAAACTATGCTTGCTTTGTGCAGGTCATGGTGCACCTGAGGTCGGAGGATGATTTGCAGAGGTTAGTTTTCTCCTTCCACCACAGAAGCTTTTAGGATTGTACTCAGCTTGCCAGGCTTGGTAGCAGGTGCCCATTGCCCTGCTGGCCTTAAACTCAGCCTCCCAATTACTGGGATTATGGGCTTGTGCCATACCGATTGTTAGTGTTTGGGGGTTTTTGTGATTAGAAAAAAAAGTTTATATGTATGAGTGGCATGTGTACCACATGCATGCAGTGCCCATGAAAGCCAGATCCCATGGAACTAGAGCTGCAGCCTGACATGAGCTTCCGTGTGGTGCTGGGAACTAAACCCCGATCCTCTGCAAGAGCAGCAAATACAATTAATTGCTGAGCCATCTCTCTAGCTCCTGGGTTTTTTAGTGAAAATTTTGTACAAAATTTTACCCCAAATGCTTGTCTGTTATTGAATGTTTACAGAGTTGGTACATTGTCCGCCTTTTTAATTTATTGTTTTATCCTAAAGGACATTGAGAAAGATGGACAGGTAGTAGAGTGCAGGTGAGTCCAGGTGGTCCCCAGCATGGGGCCTCTTCCTGGGGGTCTGCATGGATGCATTCCTCAGCCCCGGAGCTCTGAGTGCTCCCTTCACAGTCTTGTCCAACACTACTTTTGAAACAACCTAGTTGAGCTCACAATAACTAATGGCACATTCAACACTTTTATTTGCATTTATTTTATCCTGATTTTTTTTTCTAGTGCCAAAAGCTTTCATTCTGCAGTTCCCCCTGGGAGGTGGTTTGCTCAGTGCGGCCCCCTCTTCAGTGAGGTCATCTCAGATATGCAAGAGAGCTCACCCGTGTGTTAACCTGACCACACGAACTTAAGTTTGATCATGCATCTTAAGTTGAACTGTGCGACTCAGGTACCCGGCTCACCTGGAAATGTTCAGAGACCGGAGAATCTACATCTAAACCTTAAGTTCAGCTTCACCCTCTGCATTTTAAAGCATGTGTAGAAGAAAAAGGAGCACTGCTTTGAGGCCACCAATGCGACTCACCAAACAGCCTCACTGTTTGGCCTGGGCATTCCTGCCAACTCCCTCATTATACTGCTGCAATGGCACACAGTTATTCTTTAAGACATCCTTGAGGTGCTTGGTGGCTGTTCAAATATTCCTACCTCTGGTGGCCCCAGCAGTTTCACAGGTATCTTTAAAGTGATGATGAAGATCTGAACCTCTTGATTTGCATGATTTTGTAGGGTTTTCTGGGTCAAGAGAGTAGTGAACTGTTTTCACAGTTTGCCCTAGGCACTTGCAGGAAAAGTAATGTGATATAAAACTCTCTTAAGAACATACCGAATGCCAGCACCTTGAGCTCCTGAGGAGTCCCCTTGAAATCCTCAAAACACTTGGGAACCACACAGATGGACTGTGTAATTCCCCTGCCGTTACCCGGGGTGGGACAGAGACAGACTAGGAACTACTGTAGTCCGGCTGAGATCCTGTGCTTTTCAACACCAGCCTTCTGGGAGTGAGGGGACCTCTGAGAACATCAGATGGCGAAGGGGGGGAGGGTGATCTGGGGACTCGGGTTATGCCCGCCTTGGTGTTACGGGACTGAGTTCTAAGGCTGAGGAGTTTTGACTTGGACACCTCCCCAGGGACAGGAAGATGTATATTCACTGGTCAAATGCTGCTTTCTGTGCCTATAGACACTGAACTTGTTCGACTGCTGGCGTCTGTGTGCATGCAAGTGAATAAGGACCGAGGCCGGCCCAGCCATCGGCCACCTCTTCCCAACTCGAAGGCCAGGCAACCCTGGAGCATCCCTGTGCTCCCTGACGACAAGGGAGGCCTGAAGGTTTGCCTTCTTCTTTGAAAGGCTGGGGGCGCTGCTGCTTCCTGTTGTCAGGGGTGGGTTAGCTTTGGGGGTAGGGTGTCAGCCTGGCTGGCAGGTGAGCTGGAGAGCTCATAGGAAATGAGGGGACCAGAGGAGACTGGGGTGATCACATTAGCTGCTTTGCAAAAATATGGAGCCCAGAATTGCTCCCCACAACTTTAGGACAAGCCAAAAATCAAGACAGTGGTTTAGAACCCCAATTTATAAATGGAAGTTTTCTTTTCTTTTCTTTTCTTTTTTTTTTTAATCCTCAGGATATAGTCCTAAGCTAGACAGCTTGCATGTGCAGTATGCTCACTGGGTCTGTGGCTCTGTTTTACCTGTGGGACGCTGATCTCTGCCCTGCTTCTCCGGAAGCAGGGGCACAACTTACAACTCACAGTGTTGTCTCTTGTGGCCATGACTGCATCTCACCACTCTGTGTGTTGATGGGAGCATCTGAGCAGGGCTGGGCTGAAGCCTGGTTCCACACTCAGTCCTTGGAGAAGACCAGCTGTAGCAATAGATGGGTTGGGCTCTAGTTCCATCCCTCTCTGGGACATCCCTAGTTCAGGTGGAGGGAGGCTGTGCAGGGACAGGTGTCAGGTGTTTGGAGCGACTCTTGTGGCCTCTGTCTGGCCTGGGCTCAGGTAAGGCCCCCATTTCCATTCCATTCTTTCCCATTTCCATTCTTCTCTGCTTTAGGGCATTGAGGACATTGAGGACATTCCCCCCCCCCCCCCCCCCCCCCCGGTCTGCTGGAAAGTCTTGGGAAGGATTTGATGAGCAGTATGGTCTTTTTGGAAGGCTGCTGTGGCTGATTGCCAGTACCTGCCTGGCACCCAGGAATGGGGAAGCTATTTGGAGCTTGTCCTGGGAGCCTGTCCTGTGGTCCTTACAGCTGACTTCTGTCTCCTTTTTCCCACACAGTCCTGGTGGAGCCGGATGTCCAACAGGTTCCGAAAGCTCAAACTTATGCAGACACTGCCACGTGGGTTGGCTGCCAACCAGCCTTTGCCTTTCTGTGATGAGCCTGAGCTGGCGCTGGACTCCACCATGCGGGCACCTCCCCAGGACAGGACTAGCCACCTTGGGCCACCTGAAGCAGCCCATGTGACCAAAGACAGCGGTGAGAAGGGTTGCACATGGGGCAATTTCCTGCAGCGGTGCCAAGGTCAAGGTCCCACTCCCCGAACTGCTGGCCGTTAGATGAGACAAGACCAGTGGCTGGTTTGGGAGACAACAGAAGTAGGCAGACACCATGTGGAATGTAACAGAGTGGACAGCAGTTACCAAGGCAGGAGCCCCGTGTTCTGGTTCTTCATAGTCTGCTAAGAATCCCAGGCCAGGCACAGCCTCTCTTGCCTTTGATGGTGGTGTCTGCACCATCCAGTATGATTGCCTTGTGGTATTGAAAGTGTCTTGAAATACGGTGAGTTCCTGCAGTGAGGTAGTAAGCCACCCACCACTAGGGACAGTCAACTGACTGAATGACCTCGCCCAGTTGCTAAGGAGATTTCCACACTGGAAGGAAAATGGATTTGATAAGATCCCTACAGCAGTCAGATTCCTGTCCTGGATCGACTCCTTTGGCACCGCTGTTAGAGACAGACTATTGAGTGGGCACGCTGCTGTCTGACCCATCATGGCAGTGCTTCTGCAGAGGCTGAAGACACACTCGGAGATGACTTTAAATGCTCCCTCTGTTAGCATATTGAACACTGGTTGTTATTAAATATTTAAGCCCCCAGAAGAGCTAGATTTCCAGGACGTGGGGCCCCTGGCACCACTCTGCAGGCTGTGGTCACGGGGAGGGCCATTTTCAAAGCTTCTATTTGTTTTATAGGTCCTGGGAGCTCAAGAGAGAAGGAGGATGTGTTACTGACAACCATGGTGAGTGGGGTGCCTAAAGCATGAACGGCCAGGGGGTCCTAGCCTGTGAGCTCTGCGCAGGGAGTGAAGGATCAGAACAGGGATCCTGTGCTGGTGGCTGCTGCCCAGTCTGTTACAGTGAGTGATGACTGCCGGGCCCTGGCTGCTTGGCTCTAAGGAGCAGGGGTGTGAGCGTTTGCCTCCACGGTAGCCACAGATAGGTGGGTGGCCAGAACCGGCGCCAGTGGCTGAAGCACTAGCCCCTAGGGATCAGAGCAGATGCCAGCTGTGAACTGTGAACAGGGCCTTATGAGCACTGGGTGTCTCATACCACCTACACTGGCCCTACGCTTTCTGTGGGTACAGCATACAGTGCAGAGGGGACGGTGTGGAATCTGTCCAGGTGATTGGGTCCCCCTTAAACACCAGGGATGCCATTGCTGAACCGATGTGGGAAGTAGATCATGGCAGGAAATCTGCATTCGCTGACGTAGGGGGTAGCTTTGAAGTGAGATTGTCATCCATGTCCTCCCCATCCCCCAGGCTTTTAGCCTAGTGCTGTCTGACCTTGACTGTGTTGGCTCACCTCTCTGGCCTTGATGTTTTCTGGCACTAAGACTCTCAGAGTTAGAGAACCTTGGCACCAGGATCCTAGTTTTGGCCAGCAGAGGGCAGTATTGTCAAGGACAGGCGAGCCTGAGCAGCTCATACCAAGCCTAGGCCTAGGTGCAGAGCTCAGTCGCCCCCGCCTTTGTCCACACTTTGCCAACAGGTGTAATTGGGGTTCCCCTCAAGATGATCAAGGTCACACATCCAGAGTGAGTTATGGTGGCATTTTGTGGTTTTCATCCTTTGTGGATTTCCTAATTATTTTTAGGGTCCGGTGTTATAGACTCATTTATACTAAAAACAGCAAATACCAGCACCTCCTAAGCCTGCAGCTCTTTACACATCCTCACTCAACCTCCCCAGAGCAATTCCGTGTGTTGGACCTGATTTATTAACAATTTACCGTGATCTTTTCCATGTCATTAAAACCTTGTTTAGCCACATCATGTTTAATAGCCGTGTGACAGGACAGTCCATCACGGAATGACTTCACCCAGCACAAGCCCATGGAGCGGGGGGCCGGGTGTCTATAGCTCTTTGTAATTTTAACAGCTCTATGGAACGTCTTACACTGCCGTCGCCTCGGCTTCCTAATGACCCCTCAAGGCAAAGAATGTGAAAGTCACTGGCTTCCAGAGGGTTGGAGGAACTCCACCCATCCTCGAAGGAGTAGAAATGGGTTGGCTGCCCCCGTACCCAGCTCCCCTCGGGTAGAGGAAGCTGGTCCATTCCAGAGGGGGTGACACCCGTTTACAGACTGGCAGAGAAACAGCTTAGGCAGTTGGGGAAGCCTGGGAGGCCTGCCTACAGCCCCGTCCGACACTGTTCTGCCCCACTGCTTGTGTGCAGCAGAGGGCACCACTGTGCCCGCCCATGGCCATCGTGGGTGGCTGCTGACCCATGGCTCTGTTGGCCCCAGGGTGGTTGTTTGCAGCCACTGGTGCAAAAATGCCTGCCTGTTCACTTGTCCACCCCCAGGCAGGGTTAGCCGTGGGATGTCTGCCCCCATGGAGGACCATCTGTCACCATGGTCATTCTTTCCTTAATTAACGTGAACCTGGACATGGGACCGCTGCTGCAGACATCCAAGAGTCAGTGCCCTGTGGATTTCATACTGACTGCAGCACAGATTCACAGTGTAAAGCTAAGTCACAGTTGAAACAATGTCAGTGATGGAGGCATGGCCAGGGTGTGGCAGGCGTGGAAGGGAGTGTGGCTGGGCTTGAGCCCTCAGCCTTTGTCCCTTAGGCCTTTATTCCAGCATGGTGCATGCTGGGTTTGTAGCTCTGCACCCTCCTCCTGCACTGTGGGGCTCCAGGCATGCCTACGTCCCAAATACATCCCGCTTATCCTATGTTGGGCATGTTCTTGGCCCCAGCTTCCGTGCACTCTCTGTTGTGCTCAGTTCTCTCCCAGTGCACACTGGTCCCCCATCTCCTTTACTCTACTTGAGCATCTCTTCTTCTCTCTGGTTCTCCCTGCACATGCCCTCATCTGGCCACAGTGCATGGTTTACTGGGAGGAGAGCCTACAAGGCTTTCTGGGCTCCTGCTGCCAGGGGAGAAGTGTTTAGGGGTGCCCTCATCTACAGTGCTGGGAGACAGGGTCCTTCTCCAGTGTGGGGCCTTCCTGGGCCCATCTAATTCTGGCTTGTCTTTTTCAGCTACGAAATGGAGCTCCCTTCCCCCGACTCCCCAGTGAGAAGCTGAAGGCCGTCATTCCGCCCTTCCTGCCCCCGTCCAGCTTTGAGCTGTGGAGTTCTGACAGGTCCCGCACCTGCCGCAATGGGAGGGCAGACCCCACAAAGACTGTGCTGCCCCCAAGAGCCAGCAGGGCCCACCCTGTAGGCTACGTGGGCACAGACACTGTAAGTCATCCAGTTGCTGGACTATGACACTACTCACAGAGACCCAGGTGTGTGGCCAGCAGAGGGGCCTTAGACACTAGGACCCAGGCTCATAGCAGCTCCTTTGTTCTTAAAGTGAGCGATGTCTCTTAGTCTAAATAAATCCTGAAAGAACTGAACAGGTAGGTTAAAATGTTGCAAGGGCGGGACATGGGGGCAGGGACCTCTGTCCCCGCTGGCACCCTGGCTGCTCTCTGGAGAGTACAGTTTTCCCACTATGCCTTCAGTTGGTGAAGTAGGACCCAGCCAGAGAAGTAACCCGAGAAGTGACTTGTTGGCTATCACTGGCCTAGTGGGGTAGGTCAAACATGGGGTCATGGCCTCTAATGGAGTCTAGAATGTTGCTCAGGGCTGTGACCAAAACACACACCAGGGGCCACTGTGTACACTCCTGGGAGGAAACCCACAAAAGGTCCCTTTGACCCCAGTAGTCTCTAGCCTGGAGCCATTGGTCTGTTTCGAAGCTGCCCAGCATGGCCTCTTTTTTCAGAATTCCCTGTGTCATAAGGAGACCTGAGATAATACTTAGTGACCTAAGTTCTTGTTCTGCCCCTCTCTCCCTCCCTCCCTCCCTCCCTTCCTCCTTCCTTCCTTTTTAGAAAGGTTTTATTTATCTTATGTTCATAAGCATTTTACCTGTATGTGTGTACAGCATTTGTGGAGGCCAGAACAGTGCATTAGACCCTTTGGAACCAAGTTGCAGATCACTATGAGCCCATTGTGTAGGTGCTGGGAACCAAACCTGGGTCCCCCAAAGGAGCAGCAAGTGCTTCTAACCTCTGAGCCATCTCCCCAGCCCCATAGTTCTGTGCCCTTAAGTCCTTAGTCAGGCACATCATTGATAAGGACCTCTGAGATGGAGGCACTTGACAGTATTCACAGGATGCAGAAGGCCTGATCCTAACTGTCTGGTTCACCTTGTACTTGCAGGCTGCCAACAGGCCAGTGAAATTCCCCAGCATCTCCAGAAGCCCCACCTCTCCTGCCAGCTCTGGGAGCTTCAACCACTCGCCTCATTCCTCAGGGGGTGCCAGTGGCATTGGGGGCATGAACAGGCTGGGCGGGGAGCCACATAACCGCTCAGGTAAGTAGCCACAGGCCACTCAGGGAAGTACCTACTAGCCCCAAGCTCCATCTACACAAATACCAGAAGCGGCTGCACGCCAGCCACTTCTTGGTGCGGCTGGGGAGTTTTTTAATGAACTATCAGTTCAGGTTTGCTTTCACTCATTTTCCTGAGATGAAGCTGGATGGGGAAGTAAGATGTCAAGTCCATAGTGGTTTTCTTATTTCTCGTTATAAGAAATGGAGAAAAATGCAGGGGTTTTTTATGGTGCACAAACTTGGCAAAGGCTAAGCCTCAGGGAGTTTCTGTTGAACAGACGAAGATGCCAAAGCTCCAACTGGCTAAGAGTGGTGGCCAGACTTACCAGAAGCTGGAGGACATGTCAGAGCAGGGCCTGGGCAGTTCCAGGCTACAGTGAGCTTTCAAGTCCTCCCAAAGATCTCAAGGACAAGCTAAGATAGGGCTGTGAGGGGGCCTGCAAGCAGCCGGCAGAAAAAAGGCCGGATGAGCCGAAAGACAAAAGCGGGGAGTGTGGCTCCCCCATGCGGCCTCCCTCGCGACATGCTGCTGTGACCTTGCACGATTTTGTGCATATTATGAATATTCATACAGTCAGAATGATTTACTGAACACTGTGCCAGGCACGATGCTGAGCCATTTAAATGGTCCCTGAGCAATTTCTTTATGTTGTTGTCTGCGTGCTGCAGGTGAGGGAGCTGGGGTTTCCAGTGACTCAGCTGAGGTCACACAGCTCTGACTTGAACCCCGTGTGCTGCAGAGCCCTGATGAGCGGGGGTGGGATGGGGTGGGGGTGGAGTGGGGGTCTGCTCTGTCACTCACATTTCAAGTTGATATGCATATGTCTGCCGCTGCTCTTCACCGTATTGGTGTGGCCACCTCTTAGCCAACTCTGGATCAGGCTCTCCTATAGTCTTACTCATGCAAATAATGCCTCCTGGATCTTTTTTTTTTTAATCTTTTACTTATTTTGTGTATGAGTTTGTATATGTGTGTGGGTGCGTGTGTGCATGTGTGCCTCAACGTGAATACAGAGGTCAGAGGACAATTTGCAGGGGTCCGTTCTCTCTGTACCCCCATGGGTCCCCGGGATTCCCCTCAGGTCATTTGGCTTGCTGGCCTAAGGTGATATTTCAGGCTTGTCCAGTGATTTTTGTAGCTGAGACTCCATGACTGAGTCAGCTATTTGCCTTTTAAAAAACACGAATGTAGCTGGGCTGTAGTGGTGATGGTGGCTCACACCTTTAATCCTAGCACTCGAGAGGCAGAGGCAGGCTGCTCTTATAGTTTGAGGCCAGCCTGGTCTACAGAGCGAGTTCTAGGACAGCCAGGGCTACACAGAGAAATCCTGCCCTGAGAAACCAAAGTGAAAAACCCACCACCAGCAACACAGTTGATGTGGTTGGTTTGCTGTTAAAAATCTCTCTACACTGAGTTACACCCCTCGCTCTCTTCTCACTTTTTACTCTGAGAATGGCCATCACTAAGATGCTCACTCAGGCTTTGAACTTGAATATTCTCCTGCCCCGAGCCTCCCTAGTACTTAGGTTCCAGGCCTGCACCGCCAAACCTAGCTAGTAAGTAAACTTGTCTTCCAGTTCCATGTAAAGTGCTTATGGGTACATCCAGGAGGGAGTAACAACTGTATTGCTCCATGAATACCTGTTGCTAGTGGCTTCCTGGGAACAGCCCCAGAAAGCGTGTGTGTGTGTGTGTGTGTGTGTGTGTGTGTATCCATCCTAGCCCCTCTCTAGGCTGCTATACACTTGGGAAAGCTGAGAGGAGGAGTGGCAATTAGGATGCAGTTAGAAGCGAGAGCTCAGCACTCGAGTTCTATGAGGTTAGGGATTTACACATCCTGGCCCTGGCGGAATGAAGACAAGCCAGCTCTTGCCCTCCCTGCTTCTCACCATGACACTCAAGCCCTACTTCAGTCCCTTTGGGCCCTTGTGTAGAACTCTTTACAAGCCTGAACCTTGAGACCACTCCACCGTGGGGTGGGAGATACTCTTAGCACAGTGCTCACTCCTGTCTCTGTCTCCTCAGGTGGCAGCGTAGACAGCGTCTTGTCCCAGATTGCCGCTCAGAGGAAGAAAGCAGCAGGCCTGTGTGAGCAGAAGCCCAGCCAGCGGTCCAGTCCCGTGGGGCCAGCGGCCGGCTCCAGCCCGCCAGAGCTCCCAGCCTCCCTCGTGGGCAGTGGTAGCGGCTCTTCCAGTGGCACTCCCAGCAGCAAGGTGCTTGTTCTCTGGGTGCCTGTGACACATTGTTTTCTCCTGACCCACATGCAGAGTTGGGTGTCAGGGGTTGGAGGGAACCTCAGTGGTGTTGCAGTCATGGGCACGCCTAAGCTTCCTGCCGAGGTTTGAATCTGTCTGCTGCAGGCCTGTGTTCACCCCACTTCTCCAGTGGAGGGTAGGGGTGGTGCTAAAAGGGGCCCGGATGCACGCCTCTCATGTGTCCGTGGAGCCCTACCTTGCTCATACTGTTCACTGCTGAGAGCAGAGAGTTTGCAGCAGGGCCAGCTCAGGGGTCTACCCCAGCTCTCGGCCCGTGTCAGCTCAGGGGTCTACCCCAGCTCTCGGCCTGTGTCTCAGCAGGTGTATGGGAAATAGTCCATTCCAGCCCAGCTACTGCTGGCCCTACAACTTTGTTATCCCAACTCTCTTTGCCAGCAAAGCCTTGTAATTTAAGTGCCTTTTATAATTTAGTTCCAGAAGTTTCTTTCTAACACATAAGCTTATTTCTGTTATGTTCAGAATTATTTATGTGAAGGGCCTGTATAATTAAGTTTATTTAGAGTTCAACTTTAGACAAAGTTCCTCTTGATACTTTGATGCATTTTCTTTATCAGATATAAAAAGTTATTTAATTAGTGTATTTCTCTTTTCACAGTTTCTACTTGGCCGCTCACAGTTACTCATTAAAATAAGTCTAGCTGAGGGCTTTTGAAATAGTTTTCTCCTTTGTTGTCTAATGTGTTCTTTTCTGTTCTGATGGATTTATTAACTCTGTTAAATATCACTTAGCCTTCTGCCACTGGTGTTGGAAATAGGCATAAGTTTATCAACCATTACCTCACTGGGCTGCATCTGTCAAGTGTAACAACATACAAGTATATTCGATGAAAAGAAATTAGCTGCCAAAAGATACATCCCAGAGGCAGTTGACAGGGAATGGTCTAGTTCTGAGGTCTCCTGACAATCGGAGCAGTGGTAACTCTCCATGCCAGCCTACTGCCCTTGACTCTCAGGGCAGGGTCTGGGGAATCTGTTCCTGTCTCGAGAGAGTCCAGGTCTCTTAGAAACCACTGCCCCAATCAGAGGACACAGAAATGGGCTGTCTGCTGCAGGCTCTAGCAGTGAGTGCAGACATGAAGTGCTTTTCAACAGCTCCCTTAGGAAGAATAGAAATTAGTGCTCAAAACTGGAGCCTCCTGGATCGGGATTATACTTTGTTTTAAAGCAGGAGGTTCACTGCTATGGCTGGCTTCTGGCTTGTTCACTGAGCATGGAAACCTGATCCACTGGGAAGGCAGAAAGGATGAGTCAGAGGCTGAAGAGGCTACCTCAGCATCTCTGTAGGAGGGAGGGTTCAGCCTCCCCCTCCACCCTAAAGCTGGGGTTGACCCTCAGAGCATCTGTTCAGCTGTCAACCTTCGGTCAGCAGCTGACTCTCAACCTCTTTCCTGACCCATTATTAGTTGTGTCTTTCCCAGTGGTCTGAGGATTTCCCAGGGATCTTCCTATCGCTGATGCGTAGCTTGGCTCTAGTGTAGTTCTTCACTCCTGTGTGCCAGCGTCTGTTTTATGCCCTTGAGTGTCTCTGTTTGGGTGAGCATCCCAGAGCCACTTAAGAAAAATGAGTGTTCTCTTGCTGTCTCTGGGAAGGGAGGTCTGTGAATGTTGCTCGCTCTGATTGGCTGGTAGCATGGCCCATGTGTCTATATCCTGACTGATTCCCCGACTCCATCAGGTACCCACAGGAGTGGTGGTAACTGTAACAGGGGCCTAAGTTATTTCTCTTTTCAGATCTGTCATTTCCTTTCTTACTTACTTTAAAGTTCTATACACATTTGGAACTATTTGTTTATTTGTTTGCATTGAGACAGGAACTCACCATGTAGACAGGGCTGGCCTCAAACCCACAGAGATCCTCCTGCCTCTGGCTCCCCCGTGCTAGGGTCATACCACCATGCTTGGTGAGTACTGTGTCTTGATGACAAACCCCCCCCCCCCCCCATATTATGCTGCAGTGGCCCTCTATCCCCTAAAATTGGGAGCAAGGTGGATTTTTATGATACTGCAAAAAAGAATGTAGCATTAGTTAGTCCTCATAAACTCTGATCATCCGGATAGTCACATCCAGTGATGGATGAAGCGGAAACACCTTCCCACAAATGGGCTCTCTATGCAAGTTGGGTTCAGCAATAGATAATCAGCAACTCTGGCACACAGTATAGCAGCTGAACGAAGAAATGCAGGAAAAGCACTTAACAATATCCAGCATCCAGGGGCTGGAGAGACGGCTCAGTGGCTGAGAACACTGGCTGCTCTTCCAGAGCACCCGGGTTTGATTTCCAGTACCAGCATGATGGCTCATAACCATCTGTAACTGGGGGACCCGATACCCTCTTCTAGCTTTCTAGGACACCTCCCATATTCATGGTGCACAGAAGCTAAACACAAAGCAGCTATCGAAGGGATTTCCCAAGTCAGCTGTACAATAAGTATAGGGGCATCACAGTAAAGCCAAGAACTCCCCTGATGGGGAAGCAGGATGCCACAGCCGGTACTGGGATTACAGCCAGTGTCACGAGGAAGACAAGGTGACGGGGGAAAGGAAGAAACCAACCCCCTCTGCCCTCAGACAACATGCTTGTCCATATAGAAAACTATTAACCAGTTTAGCAACTCAGAACAGGAGGCCAGGGCCTGGGCAGCAGCTTAGAGAACACAGGGTCAGTATATGAGATCAATTGCATTTCTGTATGCTAATAGTAAACAATTAGATTTTTTTTTGTGTGTATGAGCATTTTGAGGGCATTTGTTGTCTCTGTACCACATGTGTTTACAGATGCCCATAGAAGTCAGAAGAGGATATTGGACACTCGAACTGGATTTACTGACAGTTTCGAGCTGCCATGTGGGTGCTGGGAACTGAACCTGGGTCCTCTGCAAGAGTAACAAGTGCTCTTAGCCACCAAGCCATCTCTCCAACCTCAACAATTAGAATTTTTAATTTGACATTTTATATAATGACATTTTATTTATATCATTTATGTAAGATTATATGAAAATGAAATGTATTTAAATTTAGTAAAACATGTAGAATCTGTAGGTTGAAAACTGTAACACTGGTAAATCCAAGCAACTTAACTCTGGAGAGAAGGGAGGCTCAGTTGTTTAGGTATGAACCTACCTTTCTGACCGCAGCAGGTCCAAGCCCAGGCTTCCTGGCCCTCCATCCTCCTTATCTCTGAGTCCCTGTTTCAGGCATTATTTCAGTTCCGGCTAGATGGTACCACCACGTTCCAAGATGGCATCCATTCTCATCCTCTCCAACCACCCGGTGATGACTTCAGTTTTTGTTTATGCCCCATGCAGAAACTGGACCCCAGCAAACGGCCTCCTTCTGGAACTTCTGCTACCTCTAAAAGCACCTCCCCTACCCTTACCCCCTCCCCCTCTCCCAAAGGCCACACTGCCGAATCTTCAGTGTCTTCCTCCTCATCCCACCGGCAGTCTAAGAGCAGTGGAGGCTCCAGCAGTGGCACCATCACAGATGAGGGTGAGTCCCAAGGTGTCCCAAGCCCATGCCTGTTCCTCCACCACGGTGACCTGGCAGCACAGAGCCAAGGTCACACATCTCTTCTCTTCCCTGGTCGTAAGCACGCTCGTGGGATGTGAGGGTAGACTGCTCTGCTGACATGCACAGACACCTGTAGGCGGCCTTTCCAAATCCAGTTGCTCCCTTTCCCAGTGCACTGTACAAGCCAGCATCCTCACAGTTGCTTGTGGAGGGGCCTCTATTCAAACCAGCTTAAGAGAAAAAAATTGGCTCATGTGACAGAGACCTTTGGAGCAAGCTTCAGGTGTGTGTGGAGCCAGGGGCCTCCTGAATATTTTCTGCAGATCTCAGCAGGCGCCAGTACCAGCAAGGAGCTCTGGGCCTGTCTTTGTGCTGACTTTGCCACCAGCAGAAGGAGCTCTGTTCTCTCAGTGGGTCCAAGCAAAACCCGAGCATCCAGCTCACAGAGACCTCCCCACTTATGAATTCTCAGCATGTAATAGCCATACTGGTAGACGGAGAAGGAACCCAGTCTCCACTGTCTTCTTTGAGCTTAGCCACTGTCTCAAGACCTTTGTACCTGCTGCTTGCACTCCCTGGATGCTGCTTCATGCTCTGCCCTCAGATATCTTGTCTTTACATTTCTTCTAGTCCAGACACTGCTCTGTGTCCTCTTGTCCTACCTGTTCTGAAGCCCACTTCCATACCCTGATCTACCCGTGCACTGGGGAGGCCATGGGTTCCATGCATTTGAGCCCTCTCTGACTCATCTGCAGTGCCTGCCTGCTCTGGAGCCATTCTCAGACCAGCTGAAGGCTTCTAGCCTTAGCCATGGCATTGAGTGTGTGCTCTCTAACAGGCAGGTTTTATTCCTAGTAGCTGGAACTTCCAAAATCTGCTGCCATCAGCCCCAGAACCATCAGCCAAGGCCACCCTGCTCTCCACAGATGGATATGGGCTTTCTAGAAAGCTTAGGGCCTGCCCCGGGGGAGAGTATGGCTCATCACAGCTAGCCTCAGCCACTGGGGTAGGGTGGGGCAGCCTGAGGTATCTCTAGGTGCTGGGCTTTCTAGAAGAATATAAGATCCTTGCTTGTGTTTTACCAAATACCTTTTTTTTTTTTTTTTTTTTTTTAAATCCCCATCTCCACCTCACAAAGATGAGCTGACTGGAATCCTTAAGAAGTTATCCCTTGAGAAATACCAGCCCATCTTCGAAGAGCAGGAGGTAAGATTGTTGTCCTGGTTGTCAGCTAAGACTTATCATTAAAGCAAGGTCCACCTGACCCCAGTGCATCTGAGTCCCGTCCAGAGGTACAGGGCCTGTGAGCTCTCCCTTGTGGTCAAAGGCTGTAACTGTGAGCACATCTCTGTACTGAAAACAGCTTTGTTTCGTGGGCCTCACTCACATGAGCCACATGTGTGCCCAAGTTTGGGAGGTGTCTAGAAACTGTCAGTGGACATCCGAGTCACTGTTCACCTATATGCATTCGAAAATCATATTTCAGCTGGACACAGCAGCTCATGCCTGTCATCCCAGCAGTCAGATCAGGGAGGTAAGAGGATTGCCACAAGTCCCAAGTCATCTTGGGCTAAAGAATGAGACTATCTGGGGGCTGAGAGAAAGAGAAAGGATAGACAGATGCTGGGGCTGAATTTAGAGTGGCTGCCATTGGGTATAGGCTTTCCTTGTAGGGGATGAAAATATCTTAAAAGCAGGCTGGGGGTGGGGAGCGTAGTCCAGGTGGTAGACATTTACTTAGCATGCCCCAAGTCCTAGGTTCAGTTCCTAGCACTGCACAAGCCAGGGGTAGCTGTGCACAAAGCCCAGCACTCAGGGAGGAAGGACTTTCAAGGTCAGCCTGGCATGTTTGAGGCCCTGTCCCCAGAAGGAATGTCCTGGCAGTTGCACACTTTAAACACAGCTGTATTAGGTGAGTTGTAGAGCAGGTGGGATAGATATTAGTAAAATTTAAAATATCACTGTCTTAGCACATAAACGCCGCTGCAGGCCCCAGCCCTGGGCTGTGATCACTGGTTAGGAGACTTTAGTGACAGCCTGGCACATGAAAACTGTCGTCAGTAGGAGCTGTCACTCATCTTCCCACCAAGCTTGAGATGCACTGAAAGCTCGAGAGGCAGATGTGTGTGCAGCCTTCTTCCTCGATTTCCTCCTGTCATGTCCTGTCTGTCTCCTTGGCCTTTGAAACTTGCACAGAGGTTTCCTCGTTTCCAAGAACCGTTTCCTGATTCCTGGCTGCTGCCTGCTCTTCTCTGAGGTATGCACGGAACGTGTCTCAGAGTATGCCTCCCTTCTATTTCGTGAGGTGTGTGGCCCTTATCCCCGAGGTCCAGTGTTACTCCTGGAGCGCCAGCCATCACACCCACACTCTGTGTGCAGGACCCGGTGTATAGAACTGGATTTGCTGGATGTGGGGGCCTCTTCCTGTCCCGCTGGGTCTCGGCTGCTGCTGTCCCACATGCAGCAGGGTGGTGGGCCACTTTGACCGTCTCTCAGCCCCAGCTTCCTGGGACAGAGGCCTATCAGCCATTCTCCCAGAGCAGGACCATTTCTTCTTGACAGTCAGGCAAGCCAGTGGGGCAGCTTGTCACCTGCACAGACAAGGGGTACCGTTGCACATGCCTCTGCCTCAGCTCCCCGAGGCTCTTCTCTCCTTGCCTGCCCTGCTTATCTCTCACTCTGTCTTTCCACAGTGTGCACCTCTCTTGTCCTGTGGGGGGGAATGCGGTGAGTACGCCTATGCACCCTGTTTCCAGGGCAGGGACCAGTACTGCTACATGCAATAACATGGGGATGCCCTTTCTAGTGGCACAACACTGCGTCCTTCAGATCCCTGCAGACTTCCTCCATTCATTTAAAATCTTCCCGTGCTGCCTCTGTTGGAAAGCCAAGGGTTAGGGCTGTGAACCATTAGCCATCTTGAAGCTGACCCGTCAGGCCAGACATGGAAGTAGTGAGTCCTAACGGGTTCGTGTAGGAAGCCTCAACAGCTCCTCCATGTGGTCCATGTGCAGTAGCACAGACAGTGCAAGCCCTTCTCTCCCCAGGTGGACATGGAAGCCTTCCTCACTCTCACCGACGGTGACCTGCAGGAGCTGGGGATTAAGACTGATGGATCCCGGCAGCAGATTCTGGCAGCCATCTCCGAGCTGAATGCGGGCAAGGTACTATGTCCCAGCTATCCCCTGCCTTGTCACCAGGCTCTTTATGACGGTCCCTCTGTTGTGTCCTCTGGTAGGTGACAGAGGTGACCTGCTTGCACACTCCTCATGACTGAGAGCCCATTGCCTCCCCATGTAGCCTGTTTTCTTTGCAGGTGCCTCTTCTCACAAGGTTGTGGCTCCTCAATTTTAGATACGTACTTTGTTGGATGGTTTCAACCCTTAGGGGTGGGTATTGCCTTTGGCAACACTGGGATGAGAGAATCCTAGGATGGGACATCCTTCTCTGTCCTGTCTGTGGTATGGAAACTAGGGCTGTTGCATGAGCTGAGGTGCCTGAGAGCTGCTGGCACCCAAGGCTGTCAAATGCCATGTCAGCACCTGATGTTACTCTCTTCACCTTGACAAGCGGACACCAGCAGTGCCCTGCTCCGAGGCACACACACGCAAGAGCTCTCTGTGGCTGCTGTCAGGCTGCTCAGACCCCTGTACCTCCCGCCCCCTCCCATCAGGCTTCTTGCGAGGCAGCTGCGATGCTTGCTTACTTGTTTTTCTGGCTCCTTGCCTCACAGATCCCCACTTCTGCAACAGTAGCAGTGTGTCTGGGTAACATGGACACTCTGGCTTTTTCTTCTTCCTTTTTCTTGGTGGTTTGGCTCTTCCCAGGTTGTGCTGTACCTGGTGAGGTGAGGCAGGAGCATGGCTGGGCTTCTGGTTTCTTCTCTGCCCTGGGGATTGTGCTCTGCAACAGTGAACAGATGAACAGTGCCCACAGCCAAGGAAGGTTTGTGCCGCCCATTACCACCTTCAAGTCACTCAGCAGACATGTCTTGCCAGCTGTGATGAGGCCAGAGTCTGAACAACTGCCTGGTAAGGGAGTAGAGACTCCTGGACTGCACTGTGTCTGGCTGCCATGCTAGGCATGTGAGGCAGGAACTGAACCCAGGGCTTCTAGCCTGTTACCCTCCTCCCTGTTGTATAGCTAGGCCAGGGCCAGTGGTTTCTGTTGCTTCTGTTAGGTGACCCACCATGAGTGAGCGAGCGCCAGGCACTGTGTGGCTGGCACTGTCCTTGTCTTTCCTGTTAGTGTCCCTGAAAGTGTCTCACCTGGGCACTGGGTAGGCAGGGAACCTGTGACTTCAGACCAGCAAGCCTCCTGCTATACTCAGATGCAGAGACTGGGGAAGCAGAGACAGGCAGGGAACAGAGCCTTTGGCTAGTCCACAGTGGTAGAGCTGCCAAACCCTCTCAGAAGGCTTGGAAGCATTGACTTACTCGTGGGAAAGAATGTGTGTTGTTCTGGGTACCACATGAGTGCCAAGAGCTGAGCATTGCCTTGTGACCAACGCTGTGCCATGAGATACGACACAGCACCACCACTCCACCCCCCCATAGGCTGGTGGACGACCCTGTGCAAGGTCACACAGAAGAGGCAGAGGCTGGACTGGAACTGGACTTGGCGATCATATGTCTCAGCAGCATCACTAAAGCAAAGACACACATGGAAGAGGGAGGCCTGAGATGCCCCATCCTCTATGTAGAGTGGGGCCTGGGGGGGTAGGGCCTGGGGAGACCTTCCTGAGGAAGTGGGGAGGGGAGGCTTGATGGGAGGCACTGGGTAAGGGAGTAGAAGGCAGGAACAACCAGGCCAAGGGAGGCACAGGTGCGGGGAAACACAGCCTGAGGAGAGCCGGGAGAGCACAGGCAAAAGCTGGGACAGTGGAGTGAACCAGCTGAGAGTGGGCCTTGAAAAGGGTCAGAGAGTGTTATTGGGCTGTGGAGTTGGGATTTCTATCTTCCTCCTAGCCTTGAGGATGGATTTGTGGCCAAAGAAAGGATGTCAGGAAAGCCAGCTTAGACCAGTTAGGGGGAGAATCAGAGCAGGCTCTGAAAGCAGACAGTGAGGATAGGCAGGGAGCTGGCATGGGAGATGGCTGTGGGTGGCTCATGCCCCCGTGACCTCCTCTACCCTGTGAATACATGGGCTTGTTGGTCCAGAGAGACATACAGAAAAGTGTGCCAACCTCAGGAAAGGTGACTGTCCTCAACAGAGTAGATGATGGGATAGCCATAGACACCCCAAGGGCCTTTCTCAGAACTGCAGAACGGGACATTCTGTTTTCTGCCAGGTTGTCTGCCTCCTGCTTTCTGGTTAACACAGGCCCTGTGTTCTGTTCTGAGCATGGCTCCTCAAGCTGGGGGGTCAGCTGGGTGATCCTCCTTGAAGCATCTGCAAGGAGAACCTTCTGAGTACCTAAGATGCTGGGCCAAGGGCACCTTGTACTCCCGGAAGCTCACACCTGCCAAGCCAGCTGATCCTGCAGCAGCAGCCCACCTGAGTCACCCCCCTTGAAGGCCCTGGTGCCCAGGCACAGCCCACTGGGAGGTGGCAGGGCCTCAGTGTCCTAGAGGAAGGCGTGATAGGGAGGAATTTAGTATTATGAATACCTGGCCTTCAGCTGCACTCCCTGCTCTGGTTCTTAGCCTGACAGCATGCCTGGAGCCTGTCTCCAGGGGCCTGGGCAGCTCTCAGATCCCAGCCTGCAGTCCTGTACCTAGCTGATCAGGGAAGGCTCTGCCTGGCTCTGTTTGGAAGCTCTAGTTCCTCAAGGAGGCTGTGCATGAACTTCTTCTGGCAATCAGTTCAGTCAAGAAGATACCCACTGGAAGCTGAATCTCTGGGATGCCAGAGGGAGGCCTGTGTCTGCCGCCTGGGTCCACACCATGCTGGAGGAGGAGGAGAGTGGGTGTGAAAGGACACTTGATTATTTTATGTATATACTTGTTTTACCTGTCCATCACATGCATTCAGTACCCAAGGAGGCCAGAAGAGGGCATCGGATCCCTGAGACTGGACTTAAGGACTAAGCTGCCCTGTGGGTCTGGGAATCCAACCTGGGACCTCTGGAAAAGCAGCCCCTACGCTAACTGCTGAGCCATCTCTCCAGCCCCTGGAGAAGCACTTTTTAAAACTGCAATGGAATGGGACCATGAGTGGAATTCTCAGGGAGGAATGAGGATTTCTTTCCATTATGTGTCCTGATGGAAAATATACCTCATGGTCTTTGTGATGTAGATGGTTTTATTGTTCAGCGATGTGGTTCAGTTCACAGAGTTCCCACCTAGCATTCATGAAGACCCGAGTTTGATTCCCAGCACTGCAGTGCTGGTGCATGCCCGTAATCCCAACACCTTAGAGGTGGAGGTAGAAGGATCGAGGTCAAGGCCATCCTTACCTAGATAGCAAGTCCAAGGCCAGCCTGAGATGTGGGAGACCCTGTGTCTAGAAACAGCAAAAGAAGTTGAAGGTCATTCTTACCTTTGTAACAAGCTCAAGCCCTCCTTGAGCAAGGAGTGTGTGTTAAATGAATGCTGTCAGCCTAATAGTAAAGTGCCACAGGCCCTCTGTCTGCCGGCCAGGTCACCATGGTGAGCGCAAGTCTGCTGATGGCTCCATGAGTCCCCAGTGTGTTGTGTGTTGGTCTCGGCTCACCTTTCTGGATTCTACACCTTTGGGTTTGTGTGTGTATGTGAGTGTTCCCCCTTTTGTGATGATTTTTTTTAAACTAAATTTGTATAGTTCAAAAAATAATGGAGGATTTTTGTAAGACGTTGCACTCCAGCCGACACCGTTCACGTTGGGGCAAATTACTCTACAGTGTTTTGTGCCCAGTGGCTTTATAAAAGCAAAACCAACCAACCAAACAAAAAACATGGCTGAGATAAATTTGGATCTATAATTTTATACCCTGTTTTCTTTGTTTAGCACAGTATCCATACAGTTACATGGTGCTAAGAACGTTCCTGGGTTTTGTTTTATATTTTAGATGGAGCCTTGCTGTATTCAGGCTCCCCCTGCCTCAGCCTGCTGAGTGCTAGGATGACAGGCATGTGGTACTATGCCCTACAGAATTCTTATTGATGTAATTTACATAGGTGTATTAAAATTGTTTTCTAAAATCCCTGCTTGTTGGTGTATGGCAACCCACTTGTAGATGTAGCAGACAGCTCTGTATGAAGGTGTCCTGGTTTCTACAACTCAAAGGTCCAGGCCCATAGTGCATGCACGCCATCCTGAATTTCCTACCAGGAAGTGCTGTTCCCAGTCCACACCCACTCCCTTAATGGCGTGACTGTCTGTGATCAGGACCAGTGGCTTAAGAGGGAGATGGAGGCAGGAACAGGCGGTGGATGAGGGCAATGAGAAGCCGACTTCTCACGAGGCAGGCTTCACTGGCCAGGGCTAAGGTGCTGGGGATGGCTTGTTTGCATGAAGGAGAATTCCAGGTGCTTGCTGGACATGACCTTATAGGGACACAGGAAGTTTAACCTATAACCTGGCTTCCGGGATACGTGACTTCCTCAAGGGTGGCGGAGGTGAGGGCTGTAAGGCTGTGTGGGCCAGGACATGCAGGTCCAGAGCAGGGAGGGAGGAGTCCTGCTCCTGCCAGCCTCAGGATGAGGTTTTCAGGGTTGGACACAGCTGAACCTCACTCTCCCTCCAGGATGGATCCCTTGGTTGTAAGGTTTCCTCAGCCCCACAAGAAAGTACCATGGACACCCTACTGGCTGTGGGTGTGAGTTCCCGCTCCCTGGAAGTCTTGTCAGCATTGAGCACCACTGGTTTGCTTTTTTTTTTTTTTTTTTGTAATTACATCTGTATTATGTATATATGTATGTATTTGTGTGTATGCATATATGCATGTGTCTGTGTCTTTCCATGTTACAAAGTACATGTGGAGGTCAGAGGACAACTTGTAGGAATCAATCTCAACTTCTACCATGTGGGCCCTATGGACTGAACTTGGTTCCTGGGGCTTAGGGGAGAGAGTGTGCTAACCCACCAAGCCATCTTAATGCATCCCTTTGGCTTGGTTTCTAGTCATTTTGTATCTGTATGCCCAAATATACCCTTGGTTTTCATTTACATTTCTTGAGCCGCTAGATGGACCTGAGCTATTTCCTGCATGTGACGTCATTTGCTTCTCTTTCTGGGGTTGTTCAGGCAGCTCAGAGGCCTTTGTTATCACCATCCTGGTGATGATGGTTTAAATCTGTGGTACCTTTCTGAGGTGAGGAGACAGAATCCTGGGTCTTGGCTGTTCCTGACACCTATTTCTCAGAGGATTGAGGCTAAAGTGATACTTATGATCAGATCACGTGTCCCTTGCCACTTTGGCAGAGGATGTTATTCCACTTTACAGATACTGCTGAGGGTACCAGGCCACACCTGGATGCTACCCCTTGTCACTGGTGGAATGAGGCTGCTGGTTCCTCTGCCCATATCTCATGCTTGGTCCTTACTCTGCAGCCTTCAGCCGAGTACCCACACACTCCTGCTGATATTAACAGTTGTTTAAGGTCATCTGCAAAGTTGGTGTAAAGGGCAGTTCTCATTATCCTGTCAGCACAGGAGCCCTCCATGCTGGGATCTGGAGAGAGACACCTCTAGCTGGTGGACATTTATAAAATGAAGTGGGGGGGAACCTTTGAAATCTGTCCTTATTCCATGGGCACTTGCTTTTCACAGAGAACTGTAAAATATTAATATAATTTTTCTATTTTCCATTCTGGTTCCCAAATAATGACAGAGACCTATTACATTTATTAATAAGCTTTAGAGCACTAAGCTGGGCAGACACTCATTTATTCTAACCTGCCTGTGCTGGTCTGGACTGTATTCAGCCTTGTGCCCATTACCTGCAATCCAGTCTGCCCTGGCTGCCCCTGCTCCATTTTTGTCCTCATGGCCTCCTTTGTCTTCCCCTCTCCTTCTACCTGGGACCCCCGAAGTGGTATCAGAAGTCCAACCCTAACTCTCCTGCCCAGCTATTGGCTGATCAGCTTCTTTATTAACCAACCAGAGATGACGAAGAACAGTTTTTACATAACCTTGAGACAGGAGATTCTTCATAGAAGTGAGGATGTCACATCTTGCAGGCAGATCTCAGGGCACAGAAATCAGCATCTGAATCCACAGTGCACAAGACCATCCCCAACAAAGAACAATCTTCCAGAGAAAAAACCACCTCCCCTTTTTGAGACAGGGACTTACTGTGTAGCCGTGGCTATCCTGGAACTTGTTGTGTAGATAAGGTTGCCCCTGAACTTACAGAGATCTGCCTGCCTCTGCCTCCTGAGTCCTAGGATGAAAGAGGTACACCACCAAGCTCAGATGATAATATATTTCTAACTTGCTTTAAGTTTTGACCACATCTATTCATAATTTAGAACATACAGTCTAAATGACAGTGCTGTGCCCTGGTCAGAACCTGCCTGCTGTCCATGCAGGGTCCTATGACAGGACCCTGAGCTACTATCTTTTCCCCCCACCTACAGATGAGGAAACTGAGGCCCAGAAAGGTGGAGAGGCAGCTGAGATTTGAACCCAGGCTATTGGATTTTAATCCATGTTTAACCTGTGTATGTCTATTGCTGCCTCTGACCTGGGCATTCAGAGGGCTGTTCTAGGGGCTGAGGAAACAGCCACATCTACCTTTCTCACATCAAAATGGGTGGGGGAAGCTTGGAGCTTAGTTGTGGGGATCCCATTGCATTCCTGTAGTGAGGAGCCCTCCCCACCCAGGTGGGACCCCCAGGAATACTTCACCCATAGATGAGACTCCTATACCCTAGGGTCTCTCTTCACCATCACCATCACTGTGGGTACAGGGAGCTTCTATCACAGGCTAGTCTTCCTGAACTAGATACCCTGATGATGAGGTAGTTTTTTCACAGAACACCCTCGGTTTTCCAGGTGTGAGCCTCAACCACAGTCAGTTGATTGAATGGCCACAGATCTAACAGGACCTTCTGTGTGTGTTTCTGTTCTGTCCACAGGGCCGTGAGAGGCAGATTCTACAGGAAACCATTCACAACTTCCACTCTTCCTTTGAGAGCAGCGCCAGCAACACCAGGGCCCCTGGCAACAGTCCCTGTGCGTGAGCCTCCCTGCTGTGAGCATCAGAGTGAGCACCCTTAGACTCAACACCCCTTTACCCAGTGCCAGGGCCCAGCCTGCTGCCCCAGACCACCACCGTCTTGGCCCATTCACTGCCCCCTCCTCTAGAACAGCCCTGGTGATACTTGCACTGTAAAGGCTCCTATTCATACTGAGTCTCACCCAACATTCCATTTGGTGCTCCTGGTTGGCAGAGTGATTCAGGGACCCCACTATTTAACCCTGGTGACTTACCATTCCCAGGAGTTTTAAAGTCTTTGCTTCTTGCAGACAGAAAAGGAGAAGAATTGAAGTGACAGACCTGGCTCCTTCCTAAATGTCTTTGCTCACGCTTCATTTGTCCCCAGTTATCACATGGATGCAAAGCAGGTTGGGAAATGTAGTTCTTGCAGTGGCAAAAGGCACATTCTAACCACAGATAGGGAAGTGAGCATTTTGCGGGAAGGTTAGCCCTGCCTGCTACATCTTTCTATAAAACCTTTGGGAATGTGGCTGGAAATGAGGCTCAGTAGGTAGGGTGCTTGTGTACCATGTGTGAAGACCCAGGTTCAGTCCCCAGTATCACATAAATGTATACATATGTATACATTTGTATACATATATGTATATATATATAAACAACAACTTCTAACTCATTCCTCTTCATCCCAGTCATCTTTCCTGGTGTCCCCTTCATATACATAGATGGTTCTTCTGTGCTGTGTTCATCACTGCTGTAGCTCTCTACTGCACCTGCTGCATACAAATAGCATCTGTTGGGGTGTACAGAATGCTTTTTCCTATTGCAAAGGCTGTCCTTTGTGTAGGAGAAAAAAGCAGACCCACTGCATGGATCCCTCCTTCATTGTGGCCTTTACCTTCCCTCCCTACAGGGTAGAGAGCTGGGAAAATAAGGCTCTCTGCCTTACAATGCCCTCCGAGACAGGTTCAGCTTTCTGCACTGTCACACTGTGGGAGACTGAGGTACTGTGACAGGGCTTTGGGGCAGCCAGGCATGGTGGTGCACGCCTTTAATCCTGGCACTCAGGAGGCAGAGGCAGAAGTAGGTGGATCTCTGTGAATTAGAGGCCAGCCTGGTCTACAAAGTGCGTTCCAGCACAGCCAGGGCTGTTACACAGAGAAACGCTGTCTCGAAAAACAAAAAAAGAAAGAAAAGAGTGGGTTTTGGTGCTCAGAAGGCTGGCAAGTAGAAACTTCGGAGTTTCTTCTCTACCTTGTTAATGCTGAGCTCCTCAGGAGTGAGTTGGCCTGTGCAGTCTCTACTATCGCATATTAAGAGAGATGAGCTTTTCAAATCCTTTCTTTCTGTTTTATATGGTGCTGGGCATGAGGGATAAGCTGGTGCTTGTCTGGGGGATCTTGATGGGCAGGGAAACCTGTGAGCAGGAGGTTCTAGCCTCAAGAACAGCAAGGAAGAAGACCCTGTGCTGTGGACTTGGGGCCCTGCATGGCTGGATAGGGCAGTGATAAGGAAGGGTGATTGAGCCTTTCTTAGGGGTACCTTGGAGCCAGTGTGTATAAAGTACCTGGTCCAGAGGAGGCCCCAGCAGACAGTGGCTTTCTCAGAACTCAGATGTTTGTTATGAGCTCTGCTGAACCGTCTTTTCTCTGTCCCTCCATCCTGGCTACTAGAGGCCACGGGCAGGACATTGGCCAGAGCCACATGTTTTCCCCTGATGGACCAATAGGCCCAGGGGTCTCTTGTTCCTCCCATCCCTGCCACTAAAGCTGTATGAAGGTTTTCATATAGTATCTTTTTAGGGACATGGTCCCTAAATTATATTCTCGAGCTTCTTGGCATGGTCATTCATCCTCCACATTGATTAACCTCACACTACGTGAGGACGCAGACCCAGAAGGCGGACAGCAGCTCTCCAGTTACTCGGTCCTGAAGTAGCCGTGCTGAGTGAGAACAGGTGGCCTCCACGTGCAGGCCTTTTCCATCTGTCCATGTCTGGAGTTGGTGCAGTCGTGCTTCTTGCTGTTGCAGATGACCGGTGTCCTCAGAGGTTACCTTTAGCTCAAGTTCAAGCCCCCAGTTTTAGAGTCTTGAGGCTACATGTCCGTGTCTTTCTGTTGTCCCATCTTGCATATCTATATGATTGCCATGACTCTCAGGTGGGACACCTGTGGGATGGGAGCTCTGCTAGAGCGGGCTGCTGTAGAACAGCCTCCAGGACCTCATCTGAGGGCCGGACAACAGGGCTGATGTGAAACAGGCTCTGGTAGACACCGTTCTTACCTTTACGAGCCTTTTCCTCCCGTGCTGATTTGTGGAGTCCTGGCATCCTTTCTGGGCCGTCACCCTTCTCTGCTCATGGTTGTTCCCAGCCCTCCACAAAAAGTGTCTCCCTTGCTCAGTGACTTCCAGTAATTCCTGGGATGCACTCCTTGGAACAGTAGTTCCATGAGATGTTAGGCTCTGACAAGAGCCTTGTGGAAGCTGGCTCAGGTTCTTTATCAGGAAGGTTTGGAAAACTAGTCAAAGCCAAGGTACAAGATCATCCTTGCCATGAAGCATCTCAGTACCTTCATCGTGCTGGACCACTTCACAGGGCCACAGAGCTGGTGCCATTTCCAATGGTGGATTTTATAAAGTGCTCTTGCAAGACCAGGGTCCCATGGACACGGCTGAGCAAGCCCTTCTTTATCTGGAACAGTGACAGCTGCAAGCTACAAGGACAGTCAGTCTGAGCCAGGCCAGAGTCCTCAGGAATCACCTCTGTTCTCAGTAGCCCTGCAGAAGTGGACATCAGGGCAAGGGAGTTCTCTGACTCAGATGGCAGGAACCCTGCTCAGTGGGATTTCTGTCCACTGCACAGTGCAGGGCATTGCACCCAGCATCCTGCTGGAATGTTCTGCCCGCCTCTTTCTATCTCACACCATTCCAAGAAGGCCAGCAGAATATGTAAGGACAAAGTTTCCCTTTTTCATCCTTTCATTCTTGAGATGTTTATTGAACATTTGCCCCATCCCAGACCCTTCTGACTCTGAGAGCACAGGAGACTCACCAAGGCCCTATACAAGCCAGACAGTGGGTATCATGTCAGGCTGTATGACTTGTGTGGTGAGCCAAGGACTTGGTCATCAGTGAGCCCTCAGGTTCCATTGGGTGGTTCCACAGGACAGGAGCTGGTCCTTGGAGCAGGTGTGGGCATGGCACAGTTGAGGGTGAGGGGATGGAAGAAGATTTAGACCGTGGGGAAGAAGTATCACTCATTGGCTGACTTCCCTCCTTTGTGAAGTGAGTGGAAGTGCTAGAAAGATAGTGTATGTGGAATGGGACTTAGCTCTGGCTTAGCCACTGTTCACTAATGCACCACATGCTACTTTATATCCTGAGCCTTGGTTTTCCTTTTGGGGTTACCTAGGAACAGCTGTCCTAAGGTGCCAAAATCAGATGGAGGCTAGAAAGCTGCTTATGCCCCAGAGCTGTGTAGATGGGAGGGATCTCGAAGATGGTTGCATGCTTTAAATGTCTCTTCCCCTTCTCCTTTTCTCTTCCATTGGTCCATCTACTCATAAGCCATGGCAGGATGGGGAAGGCCGGAAGAAGCAGTGTCTAGCAGGAGGTAGCTGCAGCTTTGATGATTCTACTGGCTTTGGAGCTCCGAGGCATTAAGAGTTGAGCAGTGAATCCCCGCCCTGCCACTGTGTCTTCTCCTGTGTTATTTCTTCACTCACAGCAAGTAGATAGAGAAAAGGCTGGGTAGCCAAACCATCAGAGCAGATGTAGCAGGCAGGAGCCTGGGATGCCTTCTCACTGCTTCTGCTTCGGAGAGGCCTGAGAATGTACAGACAAGGTTGGGGACTGCCCAGCTGCAGATACAAACCCTAACTTGTTCATGCAAGCAGGTGCTGCCTTCAAGGCCTGGGACCCTTCCAGAAAAGATGCTGCTCATGGGTGAACCCCTTCAAGGTTGGCAAAGCACCCCACTGTGGCTGCCTTGTTTGTCCACCATCAGTGGGTACTGTTGAACATGTGAAGAAGCTTGATGCTGTCCCTAGTGAAGTTGGTGCCAAATTCAGCAACTGCCAGGGAGAGGGCACCAGACCTTTGGGAGTTTCCCACTCCTTGCCAGTTACTTCGAGGGGATCGGCCAGGCTACCCGCTGTTCTTGGGGGACTGCTTTCCAGGAACAGACCTGGTCGCAGCCATGTTTGTGGCACAGCCGAGAGCATAAATGGACGGCGAGATGAGGGTGCAGGAGGGAGCTGTCAATGAAGAGCCATGTGGGAAGAGAGCAGCAAGCCCTCATCACTTGTCTTCAGCTACTCCTGCCCCACTGGGCTTTCTTCCTGTGGCCAAAACCATACTTGCTGCTGGCCAGAGCCCTGCTGCTGGAATGGAGCCAGCTCACTTCAGAGCAAGGTCCTGTGTCCTGTGGGAGCCTTTCAAGACCAACCATCTTCATCAGGATGCCCTGCTGGCGGGGCTAGAGTGCAATCTTGTCCCAACTCACACCAGGGTGGCTACACCTGGTGGTCAGAGACCACGGTGCCATTTTATGTCAGCCCTACAGTTGGTTTTTATTTTCCTCACATTAGTCTCACATTATTTCTATACAGGCCTTGATTCTTGGAAAGATTTTTGCTTGCCAAACTGAATATATAAAAATGGGGATTGTGTCTCCTGTCTTGATGCTCTGTAGGGCACAGCGTACTGCCCAAGGTTCCTCCTGTGTAGCTGTAATATGCTGTAGGGTATTCCTGTGGACCACCTTACCCCATCCCCACAGTAACCCTTTGAGGCAGCTGGAACCTTTCATTCCTGCTAGTTTGGAGACTGTGACACACCAATAGTAACCAGTTTTATGAAGGTCAAAACCAACTAATGAGGGACTTTGGTTTGAATGCAGGTCTCACCTCAGGGTTGTCTTCCTGATGTCTGGCTACCTATCAGCAATGAGGAACCCAGCCAGCAACCGAACAAACAGATGACACTTTGTCATTCCCTCCTTGTAGTTTCTTTACAGTGGGGAGGGAGTGCAAAATACTATAAATAGCTTGGAGGCTCTCCTTGTTTCCATAAAGAATACTACCCCAGCCCTAGTCTTGGTACCTCAACTACCTGGAGCATAGGCAAACAGAAGGTGCTGTTTAGGTGTGTGTGTGGGGGGGGTGTGGACTAATGGAGCCTGTGGACAGAACAACTCTCCATGAGGAAGAACACTTAGGAACCAGGGCTGCTAAGGAGGGGACGCCTCCCACGTAGGCACAGAGGCTGTCCAAGCCTGTGTGCTGTTGTAGCTACAGCGGAATTCAGACTAGTGGGAGATGGATTGACACATGATTCCCAGTGTCAGTAGCAAGCAGAGGTGACAGGAAATGGTGCCCATTATCAGTTACCCTGGTACCAAGTCTCCAGCTGACCCATTGGCCTTGACCCTTACAAGTCCCTTCTGCTTTGGGAAGAAGGTATGATGATGATAGCTTTGATTTTAGTTCTGAAATCCAAGTCTTAAAAAAAAAAAAAAGAAATAGACTGTCCTAGGGTTCTTTTGAGGTTTCATTTGTCCCATAACCATGAAAATCTAGGAAACGGGAGAGAGCCTTCAAAAAGTAAAACAGGGAATGTCCAGCCAGCAAGGTTGGGATGATGCTCAGTAGTTGAGAGCTTGCCTCAGTAAAAGGACCTGTTATCAGAGCCCAGATCCAAAAGTATAAACAATTCGTCTAACCCAGCGTTCCACTCCTCAGCATGTCTCTGAAGGATTTGAAATCGTGTTCAAACCAGAGGGAGAGACACCCTGCTGTCTGTTTTCTTTTGTTGTTGTTAAACAAGCATATTGAGGAAGAAAGGCTTCATTTGGCTCACAGTTCCATGTTACAGTCCGTCATGGCAGGAGAGTCTGGAGTCAGGTGCGTGAAGAACTTGGTCACCTCCATAGACAAGTAGAGAGCCAGGGATGTGTGCTCAGCTCTCCCTTTCATTGTCCAAACCCATGAAATGGCGCCCCTCACATTCAGTGTGTGCCTTCCCACACCAGCTAACCTAAGAAAATGCCTCGCAAGCACACAGGCCAACCTACTCTAGGTGGTCCCTCACTGAGACCTCCCGGGTGACTGTAGGTTCTGTCACGTTGACAGTAGCCATCACACCAGGTGTGCATCAGTGTGTGAAAGTGTTCATCTGTAGAAAGGCACGTTCCTCAGCTACGAGGAAAGAAATGCTGAGACACGCCTTGACTGGGATGAACCCAAGACTGTCACTAAGGAAAAACCAGATAGAAGACTGTGGTGGCAGCTCCACAGAGAGAGAAAGCATGGTGGTGGTGGTCAGGCTGGATAGGGAGAGGGGTGTGGTTGCTGCCAGGAAGGGTCTTCCCTGGAGGCTCTAAGAGTGTAGCAGTGTGACTCGGCTGTACTCTCAACCTCAGTGGTTACAGTAAGTTTTGCTTTAGGCTCTGGTTACCAGATATGAGAAGGGTTGCTCATGGCCTATTGTCCAGCGGCCTTCCACCCTTCTCCAGTCAGTCTTGCTGACCTCTGCTTTGGCCTCTTTAAGAGAGCTGAACCCGATCTGGGATGCTTTCTCTCAAGTATAACATGGGCCCCTTTTCAGAGAGGGCCTAGGTGTACTGAGAGTCTCAAGCCAGTGTTCGCAAAGCTCTGCACCGCAAATGCTTCAGAATGGGCTAGTGAGCCCCCTTCCTGAGGTGAGGATGCTCCCTGAGGTAGTCCCCCACACTCCACACCCTTATTTTCTGCAATTCTCAGCTAGTTCACTTGTGGTTCTTTCAATGGAGCAATTGTCTCTTCTCGTCCAGTGAATGTAGGGCTTAGAACTTGTCATCCTCTCCTTTAGATTTGTTCAGCCACTGAAGCCCAGCCTAGGGATTCCATAGCCCCTCACATGCCTTTCTGTCTCTGTCCCTCTCTTGCCACCCAGTCCTGCTTCCATGTCTACAGGTGTTCATTGGCAGATCAGGCCCCAAACCAAAGGCTAGAGGCCACTGTCTTAGCCAGGGTTTCTGTTGCTGTGATGAAATACCATGACCAAGGAAACCTGGAGGAGGGAGGGCTTGTTTGGCTAACTCTTCTACAACACAGTCAATCATTGAAGAAGGGCAGGGTAGGAACCTGGAGGCAGGAGCTGATGCAGAGGCCATGGAGGGGTGCTGCCTACTGGCTTACTAGCTTATTCAGTCTGCTTTTTCATAGCAACCAGGACCACCAGCCCAGGGGTGTCACCTATAGTGGGCAGCACCCTCCCCGTCAGTCACTAGTTAAGAAAATGACTTAACGCTGTCTGCCTAGCCTACAGCCGCATCTTCTGAAGGCATTTTCTCAATTGAGGTCTCCTCCTCTCAGATGACAATAGCTATGTCATACTGACAAACTAGACCACACTAGAGTCTGCCTCCCGGAACACGTGTAATAAGGGGGTTAGGGCCATGTAGCACGAGGGGACCAGTGGTAAGGGCTTTGTATAAGGCTTTGTGAATGAAGCTACTTGGCAGCTGACTTCACTGTGTCCTGAGGGATCACGGGAGCTGGGATGCAGGCTCTTCTACTGAGGCCTGAGCATCGTCACAGGCACTGGGGAAGCCCCGGGAGCTAAGCCAAGTCCTTGCCTTGCTTGTCATCCTCTAGAATAATGGCAGTCCTGGCTCAAGGGGCAGCTGTGGAACTTAACTGGCAGTGTGAGAGCTCTGCACAAGGAAAGCGCTCAGCACCTGAGCTCCTGGCCATTTTTTTTTTTCTCTCTGTTGTTGGGGGTCAGGCCACATGTACTACTCAGTCAGCTACTGGGCATTGCCACATTGACCACCACAGAGCTGGGGACAGGCAAAAGAGTTGGGTTGTGGGATGTACCAGCCAGATTGATTGCAACAATGATTGGAAAATATTTGTTAATTGGATAGCAATTAACTTAATGCACATAATTCATTTTGCAAATGGTCATACAGAATACAGAGCAAAGAAGGAGCAGCACCAGGTGCCGACTGTCAGCTCCACTTCGATCCCCCTTCTGTCAGGAGCTTAAATGTATCCTTTGGCATTCCTGAGAAAGGATGACTTTTTGAAAAGTAATTTTTGTTTTGAAAGATTTGGCCAAGTCATTATCAATGAGTATATTTTGTCATGCAAGATATGGCCTGTTGACATATTTCCATCCTCTACTGTGTGTCCCAAGAGTGGGCACAATTGCTGACAGAGCCCCCTGGGTTCCAGGATGTGCAGAACCTGGACAGCAGCCCCAAGAGCCCTTGTAACAATCTTATACTTGGAGGAATACTCCACAGGGGCTCCTGCCCACACAGCCCCACAGCTTCAGGAGTTTCCTACAGAGATGGCTGTGCCTCTCTGCACAATGAACCGTTCAGAGTGCTCCGAAAGCTACAGTACTGCTGTTGAAAGTGGGCCCCACTCCCCAGGACATTCATAAGAAGTGAAATCCCTGCAAGGCCCCGAGGGATGTGCCTCATGAGAAGCCGTGCACTGCTGTTCCCTCTCACCGACATGGCCTACCTGCGGCTGCTGGCTGCGTGCATCACAGAGCTGCGAATGCGGCCCGGCACAGCTGTAGATGACACCATCATGCTGCAGTATCAAAAGGTAGGATATCTCTCAGACTTTCACGAATGAGGTTCCACAAGAAGAGTGATCTACCTAGTGTCCCAGGGGTAGTTAGGGTTGATGTTAGGTCTTCAGATCCAGTTGGCACATACTGTGGCTATGTATGTATCCATATGTAGCCTCCCCATCCTTTCAGAGGCACCATTATTACCACTGTGTGGATAAAGGGATGTTCAGAGAAGTTAATTGGTAAAGATGTCACACCTTGATTTTGACCCAAGTTACGGATGAAATTCACCACTTAGGAATTGTAAGCACAGCAGAGGCTGTGCACATCCCAGCAAAGGTTCAGAGACATCAGACCTGGCTGGAGTTCTGCTGACTCCACGGAGGGCAAGCGAAGGACATCACCTGTCTCTGGAGCCTGGGTTTTCCTTTGCAACGCGGAGAGACAGCGGATGCTCGGTGGCAAGGCCGCAGTGAGGACTGAGGTCATAAATGCTGGAGCGTAGTGTCAGCTGTGAAGTACAACGCACACACTAGTTAACGGCTTTATTCTCCTGGGCCCCTAACATGGTGATGGAAGAGGAAGAAGCTTGGAGAATGAGGAAGTTGCAGTAGGTGGAACTTCAGGGTTGCCATGGGAACCAAAGCTCCAAGGCTGATCAAGGCAGGAAATACCATCTGGCTTTAAAACACCAAAAAAGCCTCCACTCACACCGGACTTCTTTCTGTAAACAGCAAAATTAACAGCATCCTCCTCGGCTGCCATGTCAGCCTAGAGCAAGCAAAGGATGGCTTATCACTCACTTGCTGTCCATGGTCAGATCCAGACAGAGCCCCTCAGGAGACTCTTACTCACCAGCTGTCACATCCCGAGACCAAGTCAGTCAGTAACCCTGAGCTGAAATGGGAGGAAAACCTCCATCTCAACCTCAACCCTTTCCCAGGCTTTGCAAACCCAAGGGAAAGATAAAAGTGGTACCCAGTGACAGCAGCGGAGAAACCAAGGGTCTCAGCTAGCCCCAACGCTGGAACAGTATTGAGGAAGCATGGCATAGCATCTGCTCAAGGTCACACAACAGGTCAATGGCA